TGATATGGGTTTTATGATGATAAAACCTCGTTGTTAACTTGTATAAGGTATTTCAAGGACTTTCACGTAGTTGAAAGAGTTGTCGGAGTTGTCGCCGGAGTTGGTTGAAGTTCGCCGGAGTTTCACCAGGGCCAAATCGGGGAGGATAGAACTTCATAAGCTTCATTAAGGTGAGAAGACGGCTATATGCTTTATAACTTTTGCGTGAGGCATGAGATTACCTAAATTAATCAAGAATATGTTTTATGAATTGATTAATGGTATTAAAGCATGTGTTATGTTATGTTAAGAACTATAACAAGGTTGGAAAGCATGAAATGTAGGTTTGATTAGTGAAATGATTATAAATTGTTATGTATGATGTTCCAAGGACCAAAATAGGTATTTTTGGATCAAGGACTTCAAGGAGTACATGCATGTAAAATTTCACATTAATCGGACTCCGTTTGGGCGGTCAAACGGGCGTTGACCGCCGAGTCAACTGTTATACCCGACCGGGTATTGGCAAATACCCGACCGGGTATTAATGGAAAATAGCCCTAGGAGGCTCCTGCCTCCTATACTCGACCGAGTACAGGTAGGTACTCGACCGAGTATTGGGTTTTACACCCAATAGTCAGTGTTGAACGAATATAATGAGGGCCGTTCGGGTGGGACCCGCCCACGTTGTTCATTGAGGATTATTATATGACTATAGGACTAGGTATTGTCCATAGTTAAGTGAATGAAAGGTTATCCATATCCAGGTTAGGGTTGGTAAGGAATAAGGTTGAGGTTGAGTATCCTTAGGACGGTAAACGATCCTAAAACTCGGTTGAGGTTGAGTATCCTCAGGACGGTAAACAAAACTCAGTTGAGGTTGAGTGTCCTCGGGACGGTAAACAATCCTAAAACTCGGTTGAGGTTGAGTATCCTCAGGACGGTAAACAATCCTAAAACTCGGTTGAGGTTGAGTATCCTCGGGATGGTAAATGATCCTAAAACTCGGTTGGGGTTGAGTATCCCCGGGACAGTAAACACTCCTGAAACTCGGTAGGATATTATGAAGGTAGAATGTAGCTCTTGAGCTAGGCATTCAGGAATGAAAGGGGAAAGGTTGGGTAAGTACCTTATCTCTAAAAGACTTTTTGTGAGAAAACGACCTACGGGTCAAGTATTTTACAAGTATATACAGTATGTATTATCTTGGGAATGAGGTAACAATGGTTACACCTATAAATATATGTATCATCCTGTTTTTGGGTCTCGTGTCTGAAACATTAGTTATTCCTCATATAGCCTGCTTGTCACTAGTACTTCTATGGAGTACTGACCCCTTCGGGGGCCCTCACATTTTTCAGGTTAAGGCTTGAGACCTATTCCTGCACCTTTGCCTAGGGTGATCATAAATAAGGAAGACGTGGTTCGTGCTTCCATTCTTATTTGATTTATGAAAATGCTCATGGATATTTAAATGATGTTTTTGGTAAACTGATACGCTTGTAATTTCCGTGTGTTTACTTACGTTTTTAGTTAGTTTTGGTTGTTTAATATTTCGGAAATTACACACTTTTGGTGTAATAGTTTAGTTTGTTAAATTCTTGTAAATTGTTTAGATTAGGTTTATTCTGAGCTTAAACAGGTCCAAGATCAATCAAATGATCATTGGTGAAGGAAGTTGCAAGAGTACAAGACAAAACGAAGGAAAGTTCCTGATTTTGACCTGTACTCGGTCGAGTACACCTTATACTCGATCGAGTACCAATACTGATTTTTAAGGATCCGATCCGGGAACAAAGGAACATGCAAGGAAAGATTTGGCCACGTTCTATTGTCATACCCGATCGAGTACACCGACATACTCGATCGGGTATACATATAAATTTCAACCCAACTTCGGTCGAGTATGGCTCAAAATTCACCATTCTACACATACTCGATCGAGTATATGTATATACTCGATCGAGTACCCGACCTGCACCTCAAAAAAGCCTATAAATACACCTCTTTTCCTTCACTTTTAGGAACCAATTCCTTTATACTCTTAAGCTCAGTTTAGAATAGCATTTCTTGATATTTCTTTTAGCATGTTTAGTCTCCAAATGAGGAGCTAAACTTCCATTTCTTGGTATTGCTCTTGAAGTTTGTTGATTATTAAAGTTGTGAGTTATTTTCTTAACTTCTTTTCCTTGAATATTAATTCTTCCTTTAAATACTATTTCTATATCAATGTTGGGGAGTGTTACTAAGATGACAATTAGTTAACATCTTGACATTGGTCTTAGTAATAGCTATTCCTTCCTCTATGTTAATATCGGGGAGTGTTACTAAGATGACAATTAGTTAACATCTTGATATTAACTATAGTAGGATTCATTTTCCTTAATATTCTTCCTTGAATATTAATTAATTCCTATTCATATTTCATATTAATATTTTGAACATTACTTAAAGAATCAACTAGTTTTGTTTCACATATTAATTATTACTAGAAACGATCAACGAACCGATGGTTAATCGTTGATAGTTTCATAAGTAAGTAACTTCGGTTTATTAATGCACAGTCGTGGTTAAGAAACTTAAGAGGGATTAATTTTGTTGGTTAAACCGAAACCGTTGTGTTGAGGTTATCAATCTCAATTGATTTCATCAAGGAGTTAAAAGATTAAATGCTACTATCAAGTCGGTATATGGTGTTGTTCTATACTTGACTAATAGTAAGGGTTATTAATGAACGGTCGTTGTTAATAACTATCCTCGATGAATTGGATATACTCCTCGATTGAGTATTCGAGAGGAGATAAGTTATAGATATAATAATGATCGACTAAAATATATCAACAAGTGTAAAGTAGCAATACCAAGTCCCCTTTATCTTTGAATTAAACCACATAACTCGTTCATCTTCGTGTTTAATTTTAATCAAATCACTCGATCAAAACCCCCCCTTTATTTACTAGTTACATAAAAAGAAGAGTTATTCCTTTCCCTGTGGATACGAACTCTACTACGCTATACTACGTATTAGTGCTAGTATTGAATTATTTTGAGTGCACACACGACAGAGTGCACGTCATAAACTGTCAAAGGGCCTGCGTGCTCATGTTTGCCACGTGTGGCTAATTATCAAACATACTTTATTTCCGCATTTGTTTGGTTTATATATTGATGTTGATTGTATGGGTTTACTAATCGGTTTGGCAAAAGAATCTATCAGACGCCTTGTATGATTTAATAAGAATGGACTACGTTGTTCTTATTGGGTTGTACGGCGGTTGTCTACGTGGCACGGATGCGGTCCGGGGCGTGACACCACCGTCCCGTCGATGGCCGCCTCCTCCACCCTCCGGTGAATGCGTCCGCCCATAGAGATGTTCCCCTGCCCTCACCAATCGAACCTAGTAGTGTAAATCCATCCGATTCGAAAGTGGTACAACGTCCCTACTGGTGCACCACCCAAATTGGGAATCCTAGCCGCTAGATCTGGAATCTCTCCACAATTTCGCAGCAGCGGCAGACCTGGAGCAGACGCATTAACCATCGTCAATGGAGGCTATGTCTTCACTGAAGCAGAGAATGAGAGCAGAGGAGGAGAAGAAAATGATGAATCTGCGCGAAGGGATAGAGATGGCTGACGAGATGAGGACTTGCTAAAGCTGTGAGGCGGCCCGAAATCGGCGAAGGGGCGGAGATCCAGTGTCTTCTGTGCAGAAGTCTAGCGTGGAAGAAAGTGGAAGGTGAGGGGTTACATTACAAGGCCGATTACTTTTTTGGGATTTCTAAAAATGCTCATATTTTGGTCTAACAAAACCTAGGAAGTATTATTCACGCCATTCTTTCTATGCTCACTATAAGAATTTGCAAAACAAAAATTTTAGTGTAAAAAGGACCCAAGTGCTAAACAAATCCACTTGAATGAAGTTCTTATAATCAAGCATTCCAGCTCAGCTGGTTGTGAGGTCATCGTGTCTAGAGGGAGGTCTCGAGTTCGAAACCTGCTAGGCACATAAGGGTTCGAAACTCAATGAAGTGAGTTTCAACTTTGTTTACTTCAGGTCCCCTGACCCCGATGGAGTAAAAAAAGTCCTTATTGTGGCATTTGAAATTGATTAGGATAAATTATAAATTCAACTAATTCATCAATGTGACATTTGATTATTTTGTACTCCTTTTTTCCTGATTCAAGCTAAATTATCATTTTAATTTTTTACCCATTTAATGAATACATATTAACTTAATACACCCACAATAATTGTGTATCTTCATTAATTAATTACCTATTGTATTATATTCACCTCCAAAAATGTTTATCAAATGAATAGATCCTCAAGGATGAAAGGGTCAGTTTGGTACTCGAATTTGCATAAAAAGGGCCAAATAAGTCCTTACTGTCCGGCCGTCTCCATTTGGGGCGATTCCCGGTGGAATTTTTTATGAATTTTTTTTAGCATATTATTCATGAAGTCTAGTTTATTCATACCAAATTTCAGCTAAAACTTCAATCGGGAAAGCATTCAAATGAATTCTTGAAGATAATTGCGTCTTTCACTGCGCAGTTATCTTCAAGAATTCATTTGAATGCCTTCCCGATTGAAGTTTTAGCTGAGATTTGGTATGACTAAACTAGACTATATGAATAAGATGCTCAAAAAAATTCGTCAAAAAATTCTACCGGGAACCTCCCTAAATGGAGACAGCGGGACAGAACCTCCTATATAAGGACTTATTTGACTCCTTTTATGCAACTTCGAGTATCAAACTGATCCTTTCCTCGATCCTCAGGGAATAAAATTGAGATATTACCCAAAATGGGACTAAAAAAGTTTAGAAATTCCAAAATATGACTTTCTTGTTTTTATTCCCAAAATAGGACTAATTACTGTCATGTTTTAGCAGTACCAGACTTCAAACATGACAATATTTTCCAAATTTGGCAGTAATTAGTACCAGACTTTTTTTGGGAACTTTCCCAATAAAATTTACATTTCCATGGCTATCTCTAAAAAAAAGGTAATCTGAAGCTGTGGAGAAGGAACAAGGACACCAGTGTGAGGCGAAGTTGTAGTAGGTGGGGGTATCTTGGTTGGTGGGTACTGTATTTGCCTACATTTACGGGCAGCGGACTTTCCGAAGAAACATACTTACAACAAAGGCTAAAGGCATATTCCATTCGGCATCTCACGGGACATCGTCTCCAGTCTCGACCAACCATTTATAGGCTTCACTTCGGTCCCGAGAATCAATAAGCAAGATGGCGACCACCAGTGCTTTGAATCTGAGCACGTCTTCCTCAGCCTGGATCCGTCAAAATCGTTCTTTTAGTCAACGTACTGATTCATCATTGATCCGCCCTGCTCGCCGTGTCTTCGTTGTCCGGGCTTCCGGATCTTACAACGACGAGCTCGTCAAAACCGCTGTAAGCGTTCCTGCCATCATAATTGATGTACATATATTGGAATGTGAAATTTCCCTATTTTGATTGTGAATATTTGCGGGCATTATGTGCCTGCGTTGTCACTGCATCACTGAAGCTTGTATTTGTTTTATTGATGAGAACATTTGATCTTACTGGGATTTCAGAAATTAGTTCATAGCTGAGTTTTTAAGGTACAAAGAAACTTTCGATTCGGGTAAATTAGGGTGCTCAAGGTGGGTATGCATAGCGTCTCATAGAGTAATGTTACAATGATTAGAGAAATTGCGTTTACTTTGTTTTACAGCTCAGTTCTGCCATTTATTAGTGTGTGGCTTATATATCAGCGCTTCTTGAGTAAATCTTAACCTTTTCGTTTTCCCTGTATGGGTATAGAAAACCATTGCATCTCCTGGAAGGGGAATCCTTGCCATTGATGAATCTAATGCTACATGCGGAAAGAGACTGGCATCTATTGGTCTGGAAAACACAGAGCCTAACAGACAAGCTTATAGGCAGCTTTTGCTGACAACCCCAGGCCTTGGTGAGTATATTTCTGGTTCTATCCTTTTCGAGGAGACACTTTACCAGTCAACTACAGATGGGAAGAAGTTTGTGGACTGCTTGCGTGATGAGAACATAGTGCCTGGGATCAAGGTTGATAAGGTACGTTCATTTTATCATGTTAACTGGTTCTTGAAGTATGGTTTTCTTTTTTCAAACTATGTTTTTGCTTTATGTATTCCGATTCTAAGTTATTTTATGCAAAAATTTTAGCTAATGCTGTCAATTATTGAATCTTTTCATGTTTCTATAGGGTTTGACCCCCCTCCCAGGATCAAACAATGAAAATTGGTGCCAAGGTTTAGATGGCTTAGCTTCTAGATCTGCTGAGTACTACAAGCAAGGTGCCCGTTTTGCAAAGTGGTAAGATTTTCTCTTCTGGGCGTGTAGCTTTGCATCTTCCCTATTTCTTATTTAGGTTCAGGGGGCTCTTACATGTCAGCAAGAATTACATGGTAAAAAATGATGATTTTTGCAGGAGAACTGTTGTGAGCATACCTTCTGGTCCTTCTGCTTTGGCTGTAAAAGAAGCAGCATGGGGTCTTGCTCGCTATGCTGCTATTTCTCAGGTATTTTCAAACTATTGAAGACCACATTTCTGTTTCCCCCCCCCCTCCATATGTTCTTATGCTTAAATCCCAAAATCTTATACTCATTTTCCAAATAACTTTCTTTTTTTAGATTATCAAGAGAGCATTAATTACTTATTGTCCACTATTACCCTTCTCCATCCATATATGCGACACAATATAATACTTTTAAAAGAAATAAGAAAAAAACCATTAATAGGGGTTATGGGGCATTTTAGTCAGTTTATACGATAGTACTAATTTTGCCTTACCGTTAGTGGTAGAAGATATTGCTCTCCTAGTATGTCTGCTAACAACTAAAACCACACTTCGAAAGGAATGGTGGGGCTACTTCCCATGGATGGTTAGATTGAACCTTTTTTTTGCTCATTTTCTTAACACTGATTATATATCTGAACTCTGCAGGACAATGGTCTTGTACCGATAGTGGAGCCTGAGATTCTTCTTGATGGGGACCATCCTATAGAAAGGACTCTTGAGGTTGCAGAGCGAGTATGGGCAGAGGTGTTCTACTATCTAGCTGAAAACAATGTTTTCTTTGAAGGAATTCTACTTAAACCTAGCATGGTTACCCCGGGGGCTGAACACAAAGAGAAGGCTTCCCCGGATACCATTGCCAAGTACACTCTCACTATGCTGAAAAGGAGAGTCCCTCCTGCTGTTCCTGGGATCATGGTATGGAATCTTTTAGACATTTCGAAAGTACAACGTTTTTCAACTTAATTGCACGTGAGTGTTTTTATCGCGTTTGAAGTATTCTGGAAGAAACAATTGTTGTGAAGCTTTGCTGTGGTGGGCCTGGTGGCTATTGTTGGATTTTTGTAGCGCAAAGCCAAGGATAGGTGCAATTATGTATGGTTGGCACACAGATGTTAGGAACTTGTGGTTTTCGACCACTAGAAGTCTTCATAAGCCCCTACTTGTGTATTTAGCAAGATAACTTATTTGAAAAGGTTCAACCTTTTTCTGGGATGCTACATGGGGTAGCTTTTGTAGACAAAAAGCTCTTCTTCCTTAATTACCTGTCGTAGTTGCTTGTTTGTTAAGCCAGCTTTCATCAAAGAGATTCAATCTTTTCCATCAATGATCTGTTTATGTATTAAAACCTAATAGCTACCAAACAATTTCAGAGATGAGCTTTTCACCAAGCTGTGCCCAAGATACTTTGATACAATAACTCATTGGCTTCTAATGATTTTGTGGTGTTCACACGTCCTTTGTGTTGTCATAGTTCTCTTGTTATGTTTTCTTCAACAGCTCTGATGAACATGTCTTTGAAGTTGTATTATTATTTGTTTTCTTTGTCTCAGTTCTTGTCAGGAGGACAATCTGAAGTGGAAGCAACATTGAACCTGAATGCAATGAATCAAAGTCCAAACCCATGGCACGTGTCCTTCTCTTATGCACGTGCACTCCAAAACAATGTCTTGAAGACTTGGCAAGGACGCCCTGAGAATGTGGAAGCCGCACAAAAAGCACTACTGGTTCGTGCAAAAGCAAACTCCCTGGCTCAGCTCGGGAAATACTCAGCTGAAGGTGAAAGCGAGGAAGCTAAGAAGGGAATGTTTGTGAAGGGTTATACCTACTAAGTGCGTTGAATCATAATTGTGCAACAACTTGTATCTCGGCTGCTGCCTAAGTAGAGAGTATTTATCTAGAGACCATATCCTTCATTAATTCGGCTCTTTACACACTTCAAATAATGTCTGCCATCACTAGCTTAAGATCGCTCAACTCTTTACCTTGTGATGCTTTTATATTGTTTCCTGCTGTGTCCATCCTATGGGCGCCTGCTCTACCATTTGATCTATGAACACGTTTTCTTTTTCTTTGTCTTTTTTGGATAAGAAAACGGTTAAAATTGAACACGTATTCTATTTTTTGTGTGGAAAGATCTTTTTTTTTTGTAATTAAGCTTTAGGTAGACATGAATATGGGAATGGCTTCGGCTATTTGAAATATTAATTATTAATACAAGTAGCGTTAAGAATTTGATTAGCTCTTGGCCTCTTGCCCCATTCGTCCTGCTCGTTTCTAGTTTTCAACTTCGTCCTAGTCAAATACTCAAATTTAAGGTCACGTGTTAAAATTATAACTCACACGAGTGTCAATCCTATATTTGTTTATTTGTACTTTTTAATTTTTTTATCACGCAATATCTTATTATTTATAAATACATTTTACAAGCCCAATATAACAAAGGAAAAATTGATGGTAATAATCTCAACTATTGGCGGTCCACTCATTATAATTCTAACTATCGATTATTTCAGAATAATTCCAACTTTAGGGACCTTCCGTCAATAATGGTCCCTATAACTAAATTCATGTAGTTTCTAAATAATCTCAACTTTTAATTTTCACACTTAATTTCTATTTAAAATTCACTTTTTATAGAAGGTAATATATGGTCATGAGCCATTCTAAATAATCTCAACTTTTAATTTTCACACTTAATTTCTATTTAAAATTCACTTTTTATAGGAGGTAATATCTGGTCATGAGCCATTATTGGCGGATGATCCATAGAGTTGGGATTATACAAAAATAATCAATAGTTGGGATTATTATCAGCGGACCAGCAATAGCTGGGATTATTTTCAATTTTTCCTATAACAAATCACTTCTCTGTTTTTCACACAAAATGATATTGCTGTACATAACGTATATGAATGGAGGTTGTTACTAGACATATTATTCAAATAAGATTATGAACAAGGACACCCCATATCATTTTAGTCCACAAACTAATAAATCATTTTAATTCTTAATCTTGCTAATATGTATGAGAGAATGACGGAAAGAAGAGTATGGACTTTCTCCTAGACAAATATAAGACTCATTTTAAATCTGGACAAAAAAAGAGATTAAAAATGTGTGAACGGATGAAAACACCCCTTACATTTTTTTTTTTTGGATGAAATGTAAATATATATTAACACCCAGAAAAACTTTACATCATATAGCTAAGATCTCCTAAACCCCCCCCCCCCCCCCCAACCCCACATAATGTGGGGTGAAGAGAGGTTTTTCTTCGATCTTATCTATGGAAATCACCAAGTAAACTTGGCCCATCAAAATAATCAAAACATAGCGGTGCTGCCAAATTGCACACACCTATCGGAGGCTACAAAAAATCCAAATAAAAACGGGGTGCCGCAAGGTACATACACCCACATCAAAAATCACGATATCCATAATCTCCATATCGTGGTATCCTAGTTCAGAACTTCACCAGATCATGCGGGTAAATACTGTAAAGTATTTTATACACCACATGCTTGATCTTGGCTACCACATCATCTTCAGACTTCATGCCTTCATCAAATCTTGCGTTATTCCTTGCTTGCCAGATATGGTAAACCGTCGCACAAAAAGCAAGCCGTCCTGCCTTGGCCTTCAACGTTGATCCCTTGCGTTTCTTAGAAATCCATTTTATTGCACTAAGGAGTGTATTCATCTGATTCCCAAATCCGACCCATGCTCTAATTTTGTCCCAAACTCTGCACGCAAAAGGGCAACAAAAAAAGAGGTGTGGAATTGTTTCCAATCCACCCTTGCACAGATCACATCTATTAACAATATAAAGGTATCCGAGACTGTCCTGTGTAGGAAGTCTGTTCCTCAAAGCCAACCATACATTAAAAGAGAACTTCGGAGGGATGTAGGATTTCCAAATGAAGGTCATCGGGGTCCTAGGGGTCCCTCTTACTCTTAAAAGTTCATATATTTTTCCCGACACCAACTTATCATTGATGCATCTCGCATTTAAACCTAGTACGGTGTCATTTAAGTTATTAAAACATCCTCGCAGTCTATCTCGGATGAGACCCAACCTCTTCATTAGTTGAGAGTCTCGGCTATGTGGGACAAAGTCCCACACATTTTTATCCCGAAGATATACTCCATTAATCCACCGAACCCACAGGGTATCCTTTTTCCTATGAACATCCCATAGTGTGCGGGCCAAAAGACTATCATTCCAAACTTTGGCATTGTGGATGCCAAGGCCACCTTCCTCCTTTGGGAGACAGATGTCATCCCACGAGACCTTGGAGTATTTCCCACCCCATAGGAAGATTCTACAAATCGATACTATCCTATCCAATATGGTTCGAGGAACCGGGAAAATTTGGAGCCAAAAAGATTGAACCCCTTGAATTACTGAGCGGATTAGTTCAATTTTCCCGGCATAGGACAATGTTTTTGTATTCCAAGCTTTTAAAAAATCATTGACCGTATCAAGTAATGGTGCATATTGTGCAACCGAAATCCTAAGTGGAGCAAGAGGTATTCCAAGGTATCTTACCGGAAATACGCCTTGTCTATAATCAACAATATCCAAAATGTTTTGAAGTTCTTGGTCCCTCACCCCACCCACGAAAATATTAGATTTTTCGTGGTTTACCCTAAGGCCCGATACGTCCCCAAAGTCCTTCAGAGCGTTGACCAATATTTCCACTGAATACGTGTCACCTCTAGAAAAAAGCATAAGATCATCCGCATAGGCCAAATGGGTAATACCCAAGGAAGAGCATTGGGGGTGGAAGTTAAAATTATTTCCCTTGGTTCTCAACGTGAGTAACCGAGAGAAATATTCAAGACACAAAACAAAGAGCAGCGGAGACATAGGGTCTCCCTGCCGTATTCCTCTTTTTCCTTTAAAGAATCCAAACAGTGATCCATTTAAGGAGACCGAGAACGAGGACGTCGAGACACATTCCATTATCCATCCAACAAATCGAGTTGGGAGGCCCAAGCCCAATAAGACTTTTTCAAGGAAATCCCATGATATCGTGTCGTAAGCCTTGCGCAAATCCACCATAATCATACATCTTGGCGAAATTCGCTTCCTATTGTATCCTCTAACAAGTTCCTGGGCTAGGAAAATGTTATCAAACATTAGGCGGCCATCGACGAACGCTCCTTGGGCTTGATTAATCAACCCCGAGAGGCACGGGGTTAATCTAGCCGCAATAATCTTAGTAATGACTTTATACAAAACATTTGTGCAAGAAATGGGTCGATAGTCCGAGACTTTTGGGGAGTGACTAGTCTTAGGGATAAGTGCTATAACAGTATGATTGATCTGTTTAAGCATTTTTCCCGTTCAAAAGAACTCCTTAATAGCCCGTATCATGTCATTCCCAACAATACTCCAATTGGCTTTAAAGAAAGCCGAGGAGAACCCATCAGGTCCTGGTGCCTTATCATTCCCGATATCAAACAAGGCATCTTTAATTTCCTTGTCTGTTACCGGTGAAAGAAGGCCTTCATGAACACCTGGTTCAATCAGAGGACCAGTACCTAAAACCGAGTGGTCCAAGTCCAGGGTATCCACCTGTGTTCCAAATAGATCAACAAAAAATTTTACAAATACATCACCAACATCATCTAAAGATTTAGTAAAGCTACCATCTTCAAGCATAACCGAGGAGATGGAGTTCCGGGCAGCGTTCCTCTTCACAATTGCATGAAAGTAACGTGTGCCCTTGTCCGCTTCCAGAATGTGAGTGGTTTTGGCCCGTTGTTGGAAGAAGCATGTTTCGGCCTCCCCCAAGAAGGTTGCTTTTTTCCTTGCCGCCATCAACTGCATTCGAATATCTTCATCCGTGGGAGACTCCAACATTAGCTTGTTTAGCCTTTTAAACTCTTCCTTAGCCAATTTTGCCTTGGTTGAAATATGGCCAAACTCTGCCTCATTAAGCTTCTTTAAAGGTGTCTTGAGTGCCTTCAGTCGCCTAACAAACGAGTATTGAGCTGTACCAGAAACAAAAACAGTCCAACTCTGCGCAACAATATTATTAAAGTCCGGATGCTTAATCCACATATTAAAAAATTTAAAAGGTTTCGGCCTTAGAGAGGAATTTATGAGTATTGATGTTACGGAGGCCGTATGATCAAACTCCACCTCCATTTCATTGAAATGGGCCCTACACACAATTCTTTTTTGTTCCCAAACCTCATTCAAGAGGACTCTATCAAGCTTAGCCCACAAAGAGCCCCTATTCCACGTGAAAAACTCTCCAGTGGATGGGGCATCCTCCAGGTTAGCCATGATTTTAAAATTAGCCAGATCCTGCATCATATAAGCCGATGGTGGGGTTGATCCCAACCTCTCATTAGGGGCACAAACACAGTTAAAGTCACCCAAAACTAACCATGGTTCCGTTAACCGGCATCCAAAGTTAGCTAGGTATTCCCATAAAGACCTGCGCTCCAAGACAGTATAGAGTGGATAAACAACAGTCATAAAGAAAGTTATGTGAGATATACGGCAAATACATTCAATATGAATATGCTGGGTATCAATCTCACTCACCACACAGTTCAAAAAAACAGGATTCCACATTACAACAATTCGGCCGCCAGGTATGTGTGCAAAATTATTTGCATACAACCAGCCAGGCCATTTATTGGTAACATATTTTTTTAAATTTTCATTACTCATTTTTGTTTCTAAAAAACAGCAAAAATTAACCCTATTTGTTTTAATAAAGTTACTAATAGTATTATGCTTAGAGGCTTTATTTAAACCCCTAACATTCCAAGAAGCAATTTTAATCATTAAGAAAGATAGAGGTCCGAGGAATGAGACTCATCCCCGGGGTCACCTTCTTCACCACCTAATAGTTTCCCAGCCTGCCTTTCCCTTCGCAGTTTCTCCTTAAGGTACTTGACATTCCTGGCAAGTTTAGCATTGAAAAAATTCATAACATTAGGAGTAAAGACATTATTAGGAAATTCATACCAGTTGCCTTTCTTCTTTACACCAGGATAGGATAAGATGAACGCCTCAGTGAAGGTTACCCCTGGATCCTCGTCTTCTACTTGTTGGAGCTGAAAGCCCACCCTAACCGTAGTCACACCAACTGGCAGCAGGTCTGGCGAGCAAACACAGGCCATCATTTTGCCTTTTTTTATCTGTGCCTACCTTTGTAACAACATCCCCTTCAGCCATGTCATGCATATTGCGAATGGTGTAGCTAAATTCACCAATTTGAGGTTCTTTTCTGCCCGTTTGAACTGCCTCTTCATGCGGTACAGCAGCTGGTTCTTCTAGAGCCAGTTTAGAAGTGCTCGGTGCATCCAAAGATGAGTGATTCAAAGCTCTTAAGAAATCCACATTTTGCTTAGCCTGAATATCAAAGAAGGAAGCTACGTTAAGATAAAAAAATTCTTTATTAAAGGCATACCATTTGAATGTCCGCTTCACTCCGGGGAGGGTAACCAAGCATGGATCAGTAAAGGAGATAGCCGGCACATCCAAGTTATCAACACGTTGAAGATTTGTTCCCAGTCTTGCAATAGGAATGTAGCTCATGATCTGGTGCTTCTTCTTGACATAAGCCGCATGCACTCCATCTTCATTGGTTTCAAAGAGGTTGACAATATCATCAGCCTCTAATTCATAGACACTCAGAATCCTGCGACCCTCCCAGTCAAATCCATGTTCCTGAACCAATTCACTTTCGGCCGGAAGTGAGAAGGTGTCTGGCAGTTGAAAGAGGCCTGGCTTAGAAGTGTTTCCCTGCACCAGTGGTCTTTTGTTTTGCCCTCGGTCAGTAGGATATTTTCCTTTCACAGTAGTATCGGCATCCACCTTGTTTTTCCTTATCACATCGGCATCCAACTTGTCCTTTTCCTTTGGAGGGTTCAGCTTTAAACAATTAAACGGATGATGGCCATACATCTTACAATTGTAGCAGTAATCCGGGTATGTCTCGAAGATGACCTGCTGCATATACTCGTTCCCAGAAGGAGGAACGATTGGAAATTGGGTCACCGGGGGCTTTGTGACATCCACTTCAACAAGGACTCGAGCAAAGTGTGTATAGACAATATCCTGCGTAATCTTGTCCGCTATGATAGGTACACCCACTTGAGAAGCGATCATACCCAGTTCCTTTGCTTTCCACAGTCGCATAGCAAGTTTTGGAAGTTTGATCCAGATTGGGACCTTCAGAAATTCAACACTATCAACCGAAAAGTCTTCGGATAGTTCTTTTAGGAACATGGTTTTTCCAAAAAGAACATAAGGACCCCCAGTTAAAACCTTCAACCTGTCTTCTTCGCTTTTGAACTTAAAAATCACCCATCCTTTGCTATGTGACTTAATATCAACCTGTACACCCCACTTTGTAGCCATGTCATGTATAGCTTTAAGCCCGGGGAATCTACCCGAGAAATGCCCAACAAGGCAGAAACCCCAGACCTCAATTAGTGTTGGTACCTGAAGGTGGGAGAAATCTAGTTTCTCACCAGTAGGAGGGAAATATTCCAGTTTAAGACCATTTGATAGCGCCCTGTTATCTCGGAATAAAGAAGACCATTGTTTAGTCTCCTTTTCATCTTTCTTCATCTGTTCTTTCGATGAAGCAGCCTCCTTATCCAGCAGCTCAACTGAGTGTGTGTCTTGTGAGCCAAGAGAAATAGATTCATCTTGACTTACAACATGATTTTCATCCGATGTCTCAATTATAAGTGCATCAAGGTCCGGAGTGTTTACAACTGCCAGCGAAAGTTCTTGGGAAGCCTCAGCATTAGAGGAAGCAGACCCTATACCCAGTACAGCTTCAGCGTAAGAGGTAGTCCCCACAGAGCCCAGTGATACTTGAGTAGGAGTGGAGTGTGCCGCTGTATGGAAATCAGTGGCCTCCATAGGAATAGGTGAAGATACAGTAGGTATTTCCTCCTCAAATCCTTTCTTTTCCAGTTTATCCGCCAAAACAGCAGCTTTCTTTGCTTTCAGGTAGGCAATTTTATCATCAAACTGCTTATCTTTCGCCGGGGGAGTCCTGTTTTGCTTATTCTTCTTTGTCATAACATACGAACAAGGTCCAGAACACTCGGAGTTATGATAGCACAACCATATTACACTGGATGTCCCTGCAAGGTTAGACTACAGCAGAATACGAAAAGCAAGACAAGAAATCCAACAAGCACTGCGTATACAGTTTAGTAATAGTAATTAAACAACAGCCCGAAATGTTACTAAACAAGTGCCAGATGCTCTATATTCAAAACAGTTAGCAAGAGTTGCACAAAACAGTTCTGAATATACCCAGGATTTTCAAGAAGAAATTTTAGAAAATCATATCATAAAGTTCTAAAAATAATCTCAGATATACCTAGAGTAGTATAGAACAGTCTATTGAAAATCACTTGTCAAAATACCAAGCGTAGTAATCACAAACAATTTCTAACTAGTATGGTGTAAATTTCCAACCAGATCAGAAAAAGACTTGCAAAGTGTTACACTTTGATAAAGCAAGTTGAGATGAAATCAAGAACTGGAATTAACCCAGTGTTCTTCACTTCTGCGAACTGTGAACAGTACGAAGAAATGGAAGAAACAGATACAATGAAGAACAAGAAGTGTACTTAGCTTGTTTCAGTCTGGTGGGATCAGCAATAGTTTCAGAATTCAACTCGCTCTTCTGTTAAGTGAGAAATCCAGATTCAAAGCAACTCTTCGTGCAAGTCGAAGATGAACAGTGCTTGTAGTCTGGATATTGTCACCTCCAGTCTTGGGAGCAGATCCAAAAGGCCCTCCTGGGTGAGGCTCGCCCAAGGTGAAGCTTCGATTCTAGTTTAATCAAGCGGATGATGAGCAGTCTGAGAATCCCCAAGTCTGCAATGGACCGTTGACTTCAGCTTCAAATCTATCGATTCTCGAGTATGAGGATGAATTAGAGGCTGAAATCAGTGTTGGGAGGTTCGCCAGAGGATGGCGACCCCCAATCGAGCCTTGAAACTCGAAGACAATCGTCCAATCTTCAGCTCCAAGGAGAAATCAAAAAGTCGATGAACAGTGCTTTTCGCAAGATCTATTTCTCGAAACCCTTCGTATCTGCTGTAGTATCCGATTTCTTTCCAAAGTAAGAATGGAAAGATGAACCACGAGCAGAGAAGTAGGGATTCAGAGATTAATCGATGGAATCAAAAGGGGAGAGAGCTTGAGTGATTCACGAGCGATCTAAGTATTTCCGACCAGGGGTGCGAAAAAACCTAGAGAGAAGGACGAGCGTTTCTCAACGCGTGAACCTGAAAACACCCCTTACATTAATACATAACATGTAACCCTCCATGGCTTCATTCGCATATGCCTGGTGGATCCTCTCCCCTTCCTGGTAGATTTGCATCTGACCAACCTTCGTCTAAGCGAGTACTATCGAAGCAGCCACCATTGGCGCAACCACCATCGACGCAACTACCACCGTTTTCCCACCATCGCCTCCCAGAAGCGTCGCAACCACCATTTCGTCTTCTCTTCTTCTCCATGGAGATTGAGGAGCCGTTATCGCCGTTTATTGGCGATTGGATGGCGAAAATGGTTTAAATCACCGTCGTTCGTCGATTCAGTGTGGATAGAGTCCAAAGACGACGGTGGAATGTAGTCTAGGGTTACCGGGGGTGATGGTTGGCGATTGGGGGATAAACCGTGGTGGCTTGGGGCGTCAATCGTCGATTCTATGAGGATTGAGTCCGATGGCGGTATAGATGTGGCTAGGGTAACGGCCGATTGTGGTGTGTTGATCACCAATTGGAGGGCCGAACCCTGGTGGCTTGGGGATGGGGTTGGCTGGCGGCTTAGGTTACGAGTGGTATGAGGTGAGTGGGGGGGGCGGGGTGAGAGGAGGGCTGGCAGGGGCGGTGGTGGACGTGGGCTGGTGGTGGCAGGGGTTTGGGGGCTGGAGGAGGCTGGAGATAGTTTGGGGTCACTTTCCGCTGGAGATGTCGGGGGGTGGGGTGGTCACTGAGTCACTGACGTGGCGGTTGGTCCCGATATTGGTGGGCAGATGAGTTGATGGTCAGAGGGAGCGGTTGTCGGCGGCAGTGGCACGGGGTTTGGGGGCTGTGGTTTGGGTTAGATACGGGGCGGGGATGTCTGCCGGAGTGAGTGCGGTGGTCATTTCACGGCGGTCATGGCGGTGTAATCATAAATTTGTTTGAATAAAGATGTCATCGGATTGTTAGTAACTGTAACAATAATTGATCGGCTCCTATAATTGTAATTAATCGAATCGAGTAACTGTAAGTCTGTAACTGGTAAAATTGGATAAATAAAAGTAGTTGAGTTGAGTAACTGTAACTGGTTAGTTCACGTAATTGTAACTAGACACGCGGACATTGATCACTGAAAAGAGGTATGTAGGTCGTTAAACGGGTGAAAGTTACTTGTTATTGGATAGAAATTTTGGTTACTAATGATTTTTGGTCACTATGAATTTTGGATGTTTGGTTATTAATGATTTTTTTGGTCACTGGTGAATTTTGGATATATTTGGTCACTAATTATTTTTGGTCACTAAGGGATTTTGGTCACTGAGATATTTTGGTCACTATGGTGTTACTGGTCACTGTGACGTACGTTGCTGTAGCACTAATAGGGGTGTAGTAGTCTCCTAAACTCTTTTTAGTCTTATTTTCGGAATTTGAGAAAAAAGATCACTTTTGTGTCTATAGCAATTTTTTGTAGTAATATTTTAGACATAACCCCAATATGTATTGTTCAAGTTTTTTTTTGTTAATTATTTCTGTTAAATCACGCTAATTGTAACATCGATTGGAATGTAAGATCCACATGTACTTGCAGTTATTTAGCTCCATTTTAGGGAAAACTGTCAAATAGGTCCTCGAACTTTCATAAAAAAGTCAATTAAGAGCCTGTTTGGAGACCCTTTTCTTCGGCTTATCAGGCTTATCAGTCAGCTTTTTCACCAAACACGTAATTTTTACTTTCGCGTGCTGAATTGTGTAATAAGCAGAAAAAGTAAGGTTGGAGTTACTTTTCTGGCTGTATTGGCTGAAGTTACTGTAGATGACCATTTTAGTTATTTTTACATGTAATTTTTTCTTTATTTTATTAATAAAATATACTTTTAAAATATTTTTTTCTAGAATCAGCAGAATCAGCCAAAACAGCCACTTCAGCCAGAACTTCATAAATTTCAGCAGAACCAGCCAAAACAGCCGATTTTCGTGCTACCAAACGGGCTCTAAGTCCTTCTATAGGTGACTTTGTCCGGTTGTCGCGATTTGGGGCGGTTCTCGGTGAAATTTTTTGATGAATTTTTTTTAACATCTTATTCATCAAGTGTAGTATACTCATACCAAATTTCAGTTAAAAATTTAATCGGGAGCGCATTCAAATTAATTCGAGAACGCAAAAATGCGCAGTTATCTTCAAGAATTAATTTGAATGTGTTCCCGATTGAATTTTTAGCTGAAATTTGGTATGCGTAAACTAGACTTGGTGAATAAGATGCTCAAAAAAATTCATCAAAAAATTCCACCGGGAACTGCCCCAAATCACGACGGCCGGACATAACCTTATAGAAGGACTTAATTGACCTTTTTATGAAAGTTCGAGGACCTATTTAACAGTTTTCCCTCCATTTTATCTAGATTAAAATATTAATGTGCTATAGTTATTAGCTCCCATGACAATGATGTTTTAGTGGCACTTCCTACTGAACTGGAGATTCGAGAGGTTGTGTGGGGCCTAAGTGCCGATGCTGCTCCGGGACCAGATGGATTTGGGGGTAGTTTTTACAAGGGCTGTTGGGATATTATCAAACAAGATGTGGTGCTGGCAGTTCATGAATTTTTTATGGGGTTTCCGGTGACTAAAGGAGTAGGAAGCGTGAATTTGGTTTTGATTCCAAAAAAGAAAAGCCCTATCTCTTTTAGTGATTTTAGCCCTATCTCTTAAGTAAAATTAATACACGCATTCTAGCAACGAGATTGTCCTCTATTTTAAGAAAAATTATTTCCGATGAGCAGTCAGGCTTCATGAAAGGCAGGGAAATTCAACCTCAAGTACTTGTTGCCTTGGAGATGTTACACCACCTGGATAGAAAGGTCAGGGGGTCAAACCTGATAATTAAGCTGGATATGGCAAAGGCGTTCGACAGAGTGGCATGGGGTTTCCTGGATGCTATCCTTCATAAATTTGGTTTTAGCTATCATGTTTATTAGCTCCCATGAATCATGTTGGTATAGTGCAGTGTTCTAAAAGTCGCTAGGCGCTAGTCGGGCGCTAGCCCAGTGCCTAGCGCCTAGGCGGGCGCCTAGGCGGGGACTAGTCGGAAACATAGAAATTGCATTTTTATCTATATTTTTACATAAATATGATTAGTAATATTGTATTTTTGTGTGTATGAAATACATATATACATATACATTAACAAACATGAATGATAGAATTACACATTTAATCATACGTAGTATATGATAACTAATCACTTAACTTCATTATGTTATAAATATAAATAATGATAAATTTTAGGTATATATACAAACTATATAGTTTTATCATAATTTACAACTCCATTTCTTTATATCAATGGCTAAAGTTAAAGTATGTATATCGCTTAGAAAATTAAAATTAAAAGGTGAAGTAATGTTCGTCGAATCTAGACGCCCTAGGCGGCTGATTAGGAGCTCTAGGCGGGCAACTAGGCGCCATAGGCGGCCGTCTAATTCACCTAGACGGCAAACCAATTAGTAGGAGCGCCTAGACGAAAATCGGGGCGCCCGACCACCGCCTAGCGCCTAGGCGGGGACTAGTCGGGCGCCTAGAACGATTTTTAGAACAGAGGTATAGTGTGTCAATTGAGTTTTTTAATTCAGAACTACAACATGTGAGTTTTACTGTGTTTTGATTTTTTTTTAATTTGGAGCTGTACTATAGTTTTGTGTTTTGAAAGTTTTTTAGAAGATACACAAGAAAGGAGTCTTTTACTAAAAAGATTAAAAAAAGGGGTTGTTGGTGACAAAGTGTAAGTCTAATCATTGGTCTTTAGGCTGGGGCTGGAATTACCTTAAATCTATTGTAATGGTTTTTTATTTATTAATTTCAGTATAATCAATTTTCATTAAAATTGATCTTAAAAGAAAAATGTTGTTACAGTTTGATAAAACGATTTAGTACAATTTCATATAACAATTTGTTGTGACTAATTGATACTAAAAATTACAAAATTTTCTCTGTCAAAAAAATATATATATATACAAAATTTCTTACAAAAGCCACCCACAGTAACTTCTTAAAATATTCTTAAATATTTAAAAAAGCTCTTAAATGTTTTGTGACAAACATAAAGCTATGAAAATTATACACGGTTATTTACATCAATTACATGGTAATGTGTATAACTTTCTATCAATTTACCGATTAAAGAACAAAAGGACTTGGTTGATATGTACAAATTAGAATAAGGACTAAGGACCAAACCGACATGGAGGCTGTTTGGTAACACTGTTTTTCGGCTTATTAGGCGTATCATCCAATCTTTTCACTAAACACGTAACATTTGTTTTCGCGCGCTGAATTGTGTAATAATAAGAAAAAGTAAGGTTGAAGTTACTTTTCTGGCTGTATTGGCTGAAGTTACTATGCATAATCATTTTAGCTATTTTTACATATAATTTTTTTTATTACTTTATTAATAAAATATATTTTAATTTTTTTTCTTTAATCAGCAGAATCAGCCATTGCAATCGCTTCAGTCAGAACTTCATAAATTTCAGCAAAATCAGCCAAATCGGCCGATTTTCGGGTTACCAAACGGGCTCATGGTCATAATTTACATACTCGTATCCCTTATGCTTTTACCCACAAAAATATGATTAAAGTTATTATTGTAGTCACTTTGTATCAGAGGTGACATTATTTCGTCCATCATCTTTATTTTAATCAAATGTATATTCTATCGTATTTGTTGTTGTTTCATATGACAAATTAAAAATATCAGTTATTTGTAATAAGATAGAGTACATATAAACCAAGTATTCCAGCTCTGCTGGTTGTGAGGTTACCGTGTCCAGTGAAGGTCTCAAGTTCGAAACCCACTAGGCACATAAGAGTTTGAAACTCAATGGACTGAGTTTCAGCCCTGATTACTCCAAGCCCCCCAGCCCCCCTCCCCCAAACCCCCCTGGAGCAAACAAAAACTAAAAGTAATAATGAATAGGGATTATAATTCTTGTAAAAAATAGTTATTATCATGGG